CGCGAGTTATTTTGTAGTTTTATTGTAAATAGGAGATATGTTAATTCGGTAGGAAAAGAGAGGGTAGAAAAACTTTGTTAACATACAGAAAAGTACTGGGGACGTTTGTTATTATTTAGTTTATTTACTCAAAACAATTCGCGTGCTAAGGTCATTTCGAGTGCTAAGGTCATTAATTGCAGATGCTACAGGAGCAAAAGGGCTGTTTTCTACAATTAGTGTGTTCTGTTCACATGCACATAGTGTGATTCACTTGCACAGGGGATAGCATCATCGGTAATGCACAAACAAATCCCATGTCTTTCAGTAAGTGGCCATCGTTAAGTGTAGTTACACAAAAAAAATTCTCCCTTTCCTCCCTCCCTTTCTCTGTTGACTGTGCATGTACTGTCTTAGTCTTTTTTCTGTGGTGGCGTTTTTATGAGCACACCTTTTCTGTGGTAAACAGAAAAGCCTTGATCTTAAAGAATTTTATTAAATTGTGTAAAATAATTCCTGTAATTATTTCGTAATTTGTTATTTTATGGTATTAAACCGGCATGGGCTTTGACATATTGTCAATTTTTTATCCAAAAAAGAGTATTGATTCATACTACTTTATACGTCATGCATAAAGAAAACAGAGCACATCAGCTTCAGACCCCCCTTAGATCTTGATTTGCTATGATTGAGTGGAAGCGATACAGCCAATTTGAAAAACGAACTGCTTTTGTCAACAAAGGATCGTATCATTAAGCTTGATAAGGACTGCTTCCATTGTTTTGAGAGAAATACTTATACATTTGTGTAAGATACGAATTTTGGTATCTGTGTATGCATCAGCAAAGTTTGGTTGAAACAAGGATTAGTTTGCCACTATCAATACTTAAGTTTCGCAGTTCATCAAAAAAGGAAAAGGAATCTTTAAGAACTTTTGATGAAAACTTATTAAGAACCGGTTTAAGTAATATTGATAGTTAAAGAACTATGTTGTCAAAGAACTATGTTGAACTTATGTTGTGCAGATTTTATCATTCAGAGAATAGGACGCAGTGGTGGGCCCTGATTGTGTGTTTTTAGCAATCTGTAAGTTCTTGGTCGTTCTGATCGCATTGGGCGGACATTTTAGTAAAATTCTAGAGTGCTTTACTTTAATGCTTTTAAATAACACAGCAGTGTTTGTAAAGTTTATTTCTATTGAAGCTGTTCGATCATATGCTTCAATGTTTCGTATTAAGCAGAACTTATCCGTATCACTTGAAATTTTTATCATCTTAGGAAGAAGCGAAAACTTCAAAAGCAAAACTTAGCTACAAATTTTTTTAAGCGTTATAAGTCATTTTAGTTGTAGCTAATTTTCAAATCAAGCTAAATTATTTGTTTTCATTTTAAAGGTTTTGTGAATTTGCAAGGTCAGAGCATAGAGAAATTGCTAAAATACGTTTTTTTTGTAAAGTATTTAATCTTTTCCTTTTGCCAAAATGAACAACGCTTCGCTGAATCCCGGCTACTGGGCTCATGAGAACAGCAACATAGCATTATAATCAACTTTATGAAGAATCACAGCCCAAGATCCTTTGTCTGGTTTACAACTTACCATATCCTTATTTTTCCGTAAGTTTGCTAACGCGATGAGATGTTCCCTAGTCAATGAAAAGTCTCTACTATCTATTGGAGTGCCATTATATTCATGTGCAATATCAGAAAGTTTTGCTTTACAAGCTGCCATTGTCTCCTCGCTTTCAGAATTTACGTTTTGAAGATGTGACCACAGACAGGGACGGTGCTAAAACGGTAATTGAGGGGACGAGGTTTATTCAAATATTTAGTTGTAAGCGAGTGATTTATTTTGAAAGTGATTTGGTTTTCTAAAGAAGTCCGTCAGGCACATTAGTCTCCATATTTGACAGTTGGTACGAAGAAAGATTTGTAATGTGTGAATATGCGTATTCCATGCATATCTGCTTACTTGCAGTTTCTTCATTAATTCATGTTGTTCTTTAACTTGAGTTGTTGAGAAATTTGCTCTAAGTTGTTTTAACTAAAAAATTTATTTTATATCATGTGGAGAGATATGTGGCATATTCTCGGTTGCGAGGCATGTTGACTGCTTCTGGTAGACAAAGGATGGGAAGTTTTGGCAATGTATTTAGACTTATGTTGCACAAAACGGAATTGCTATACCACTGTACATTTAATGGAATAAGGGATAGGAACTTTTTTATAAGTATTGAAAGTATAAATATTATGTTGAGAGAAAAGCCTTGAGGTAAAAGTATTGAGTGGTGAGTCAACTGAACTATATGAAAAGGACACCAGAAAACAGAGATTTAAGGAGGGAATTGGTGTTATTATGAATACACCTGATGAGAAAAGGAATAACTTGAGAGAAAATTTAAAACAAGAATGCTTAACCGGGTAAAACGGTAAATGAAACAACGACATGAGGTCGATTAAACCAATTGTTAAGACAAAATATTTTACATTTAATTAACATATCTTAGCAAATGCAATATCAGGCTAACTCTTTTTTTGTAAAGTAGCTTGAGTCAATATGGGCAAAATGATCGGCTCAGGGGCGGATCTAGAGAATGTCAAATCGGTCGCGCGACTGATGTTTGAAATTCAAAAATTACCTATTCATATTAATTAAAAAATCACTAATTATTCTTACTTTATTATCGCATTTACTTCGTGATAAAAATCCAGCTTTATTTATTATTGAAAACTAATGACTAATGCAACGAATATCTCCTTGGTAACCAGATCAGTTGAATTTTAATTGACCTGGAATAACCGACTGATAAGCGGGGTGGCTTGACTGGTTCGACTTATAAAGGAGTCTATGAACGCCAGAAACGCTATTTTATTGGTCAATGGCCAGATCAGTGGACAGTCTGGAATAATCTCGACCGATAATAGGGGTGGCCGCACCTATAAGGGAGTCCAATTGCTATCTTACAATTGGGTTCATTTGAATTTTTGTCTTACTGTGATTGGTTTGACCGATTTCGACTGATAGCCAACTGAACTAAGATAGTCAAGCTCACTGTCTGAATTAAATGTTTGATCGTTTCATAGTAATTTTTATAAGCATGATAGAAACTAAACTACAATCAGATGGAATTTATGGAAATCTTTTACAAATTCATATGTTGACATGAATGCTGCTTTCCAAACTGGGAATTTTTCAAGAGGGTGAAAATTTATGGATAAATTGTAAATGCTTGGCAAAGACGATCTCGCGAGCGACATTTCAGTCATTGATGTTCAAAAGCAAGCCAACATTGTTTTGAGTTTTATCAGCAGAAATTTACATCGAAAATCGTAAGTAAAGGACAAGTGAAGTGTATGCATGAATGCAATATATCAAAGTCAATTTATGCGAGTGTGTGATGCGATTTATGTTAATATGGCGTATGGTAAGCAGATTGATGCTTCTAAAATTGTTGTTGCCGAAGGACTTTTAGCTATGATTTCTATAATGCTTGGGGAATCGTGGCCGTTATATGGCAGCGAAATCCTACATTTCTGCAAATATATTTCAATGGACAAAAAATCTGTAGCCATAAGGTGCCATACTATTATTTACTTTATCATAAACAAATGTTTGGGGCTTTTCAGTTTATGATCATTGATCATTCAATCATTGGACAGTTATACTACATATTGTTTAAGATTTGAGAAAACTAACATTGATTACATGAGAAGCTGTTTACTATAACCTGTGATTTTGAGTCTTATGATCCATGAAGCTTTTTATTTTGACAATTTGACTGGAATGGTATTAAACCTGAGTATTTCACATACATGAAATGTTGTCCCATGTCACATATTGTCTCCTTTTCTAACTGAACACCTCATGTAGAGATGTAAAGGTGTGTTAATCTACGGCTCATACCAGATTGTTTGCCATAAATTCCAAAGGGCTATTGATGTATGAATAGCATTTTCTATAAAGTAAAAATGTCTTCCAATGTATGCAGATAAACCTTGAAATTTGGCAAAACAGCAAAGTATTTTTCATGATCACTAGGTAATTTTTCTGATGATCAGTATAATTTCTAAACTAAATTATTTCAGATTTACATTTAAACGAGCTTTGATCATATGAAAAGATATTTATCATAACCAGTAAGCATGACACATGAACCAATTTTAACATTCATGTAATTATATAATTAAAGACATGTTGGTTACATTCTGTTTGTATTTGCAAATACAATGCTACTAGTGATTGCTATATAGCACACCTTGCATATACTTACAGAAGATAATAGTCTAGTGAAATGCCTAAGAAACATTTATGGCATTAAGCTGTCCTTAACTGCAATTTTTCACTTTGATGATTTTCTTAATCTTTGACAGAAAAAATTTTGAGTTTTTCTCAAAAGTGAATTTGCTGGCTCTGATGTGGAGATGGGTGAGGGTTACAATAAACTTGCATGGTTTGAAGTCTGAGCTTTTCTATATTTATGAACTGTCACTTGTAGTACCAAATTTCTAACTTAACTTATTACATAGAGGTTTGAATGGGGTCTCTAGGGGTCTATGCCTGACAACTTGGTAGAAATTTTAAAGACTATATCTGTTTTGAATAGCATTATTGTAAAATAAATTTTACGTTCCTAGACATGCTAATGAGCCATATATTTGGCATGATAATGAGCCTAATTATTTGGCAAAACATTCAAGTATTGTTCACTTACGTAAGCAAAATGTGTTGTTTTTACCGAAAAACGATGCCCACAAAATACATCTTGTATTGCTCTAAAACGCTGAAAATGGCATTTTAGAGGTTCTGAAATTCAAAATTTCTCAGGGGAGAATGCCTCAGACCCCCCCCCCGGCGCGGAGTGCCTCCGACGTTTTATGACTGATGTTTGAAAAATCCTAGATCCGCCTCTGGATCGGCTATATTCGATTCCCATTCTCTGAAATTTCTTATCTGATTTTTTAAAGGCATCAATTGACATTTTTCCCTTTTCTGCTTTTTCATAACCTTTCATTTTATTGTTTTCGTTTTCTCCATCGTCAACATTCCACAACCATCTTGGTTTCGCTGAAGTAAAGTCATCATTTAAAATCAGGACTAGAATAAAACGACTCTAACTTATTACGATGAATCTTTACAACTCATGAATTACTTCATATTACCGACTTCAAGATATGCTACAAGATATTTCACAAAACGTCCACTATTTCATAACTAAAGGTTTTCGCATGTGATTTTTCCATAATTTTTTTTTACGATAGAGGCATCCCTTTTGTGCTCATGGAGATGGATAGTTTATTTATTGAACGCTATTACAAGTCAGCTGGTTGATCACAACAGTCATTGTAACGTGCAACCAAAAAACAAATATGAAAGGACGCCAATTCAAAAAAAGCCTGATTTTTGGACTGCACGGATCATACAAGGTTTTATGCGCATGCATGCTCCAACTAAGCTTTCTTTGACCCACTTGTGATTTCATTTGTATCTTCAAATTAATAAGTATTCCAAGTCAAATACGCTTTCAAATTACTAGGAGTTGTTAACAGCTCTTTATGCATTCAGAACTCTACAGTTTGTCCTGCTTTGCTACAACGATTCTTAAAGGCACAACTCATTAGAATAAAAGTAAACCCACTCCGAAGACTAGGTACATATTGAACTCAATAACTAAGAAAAATACGCAAAGTCAAAAGAAGTTTTAAAAAGTTGTAATTCGAATTTATTGCAAATCCATCATTATTAGTCTTGTATGTGTTTCCTTAAATGTTGACTTCATTACTGATTCCATTAATATTTCCTAAATTCAGAACTATGTAGTTTTCAAAGATTAATGAAAGACAGAAGAAGTGCAATATAGATAATTCTTTCACTTAATATTTCTATAAAAATACTACCTTCGTAGCTATAAGTGTCAAGATCGCACTAACGCGGAGAAAAATTTACAATCAAATAAAGCAAAAAAAGAACGTAAAAGATGGTATTTAACTGTTATTTCCTAACAGATGGGGTTTAAAATATGTTTCTGCCTGGCATGGCTGTTTCAAATTTTTAAAGACTGATTGTTTCTTTCTACAACTTTTTATGAGTCAGGTAGATAACCACAAGAGCCTCGATATCTTTAACAGCCTTTTCAAATAACATAAATGAACGCTAATTTAGAAGCAGCACGTAATTGGACTACACGGATCTTGGGATGTTTCAAAACATAACCAAACACATTTTTTAGTATAATTGAATGAAGGGAAAGGTTGAAAAAGATTTAAGTATCCACTCCGAGCGAACAATTTCAAGTGCAAAAGGAAAAATTACTCAATATTGAACTAAATATTTAAGAAAACAGATGCATGACAATTGATGACAAATTTGCAATAAACTCACAAAAATTGTTTCTCAAATAATGAGACATATATGAAACTTTCGTTAAGAGTTTGTTTTAATCCAAATTAAACCTACTTTTAAAAATCGTTGTATAGTTACCACTTACCAGGATGAATTATACAGTGCATGAAAGAACATTTAATCACTCCCTCCTCCCCAATATTTAAACAGCATTTTAAAAGCTTATTTAACTTAAAAAACTAATTAACTTAGAAAGCTAAATAATTAACTTAGAAAGCTAAATATTTAACTTAAAAAACTAATTAATGACAACACTGAAATGAAGCAAGGGTTTGAAAAAGGTTATTTTGTTTTGACAGCATCCATATGCATACAAAGCGTTTAATTGTCCGTGTTGTCCAATACCATGCTGTTTCTAAACTAGCGTCCTTTAGTGATTGCTTGTGTGCATGTAATTTGAGAAAACCACCTGCAGAACCTCTTGCTATAAAATGGTGATCATAGCTTTTTTGTATCACATGTTCTTGTGCGTAATAAAAAGTATTTCAAGAGTCTGTGAAGAATCATGGTGTTGAATAAGAGCGTGAGTGTTCTTCTTTTGATCCTCATTTTGAATGTTGCCACGAGTTTGGCCAAACCAAAATGGTTCTGGAGTGTTGAGGATGAAGAAAACGAAAACAATGCAATGAGACGTCAATCGATGACTTTAAAAAAGAGTCCCCGACGAAGAGGAGACTGTGGTCGACTATATTGCCCACCTTGACACAAACTATTTCACAAAAAAGTACTTAGCTTGATATTTAACCAGTTGAAACGTGTCATTTAAACGCAAAGTGTCTTAATAAATGGTTTAGTTGTACTCATGATCATATCGTTATTTCTTCCTCTTTTCCAAATTCTCTCAAGTCGTTTGTTTTCTCAACATGTATGTATTTTATCAATTTCTTCCTTTGTGTTTTCTGGTTTCCTCTTCATGACTTGACTCGTCATCCCCAGTGTATTTTACCTCTGGGTGGTTTCGTATTAAATAACATGTTTTGAATTTCAAACGGTTTCTTTGATTTTTTGTTTATTTCACGTCTTCCTTCTGCCATACTATTGTCGCAACACATTTGTTGCTCTTTTTTTATATACCATCTTATTTTGTTATCTTTCTCCAGACTTATATCTCATGTCTCTTCATTGAATCATGTCCATATTTTAATCTACACACTCATACACTTCTTATCGCCGTTTTCAACGTTCCTCGCATTTCTCAATTAAAATTTTTCCTTGGACAGGTGAAACGTCGTAGTACTAAGAAAACATTTACAAGATTACTATATCACTAATGGTTTTCGCATGTGGTTTTCTCCATAACTTTTTTAGGAAGCCCTTTTGTGCCCATGGAGATGGGTGGTTTATTTATTAAATGCTATTATACAAGTGAGCTGGTTGATCACAACAGTCATTCTAAAGTGCAACCAAAAAACAAATATGAAAGGACGCCAATTCAAAAAGAGCCTGTTTTTTGGACTGCACGGATCATACAACGTTTCGTGTGCATGCATGCTCCAACTAAGCTTTCTCCGACCCACTGGCTTCAGTGATTTCATTTGCATCTTCAAATTAATTACTTGTCCAAGTCAAATACGTTTTCAAATTACTGGGAGTTATTAACAGTTCTTTATGCATTCAGCACTCTACAGTTTATCCTGCTATGCTACAACGATTTTTAAAAGAACAATTCATTGGAGTAAAAGGAAACACACTGCGAAGACCAGGTCAATATTGAACTGAATAGCTAAGAAAAACATGCAAAGACGAGAAAAGTTTTAAAAAGTTACAATTAGAATTAATTTGAAATTCATCATTATTAGTCTCGTATCTCTTTCCTCAAATGTCGAGTTCATTATTGATTCCAATAATATTTCTTAAATTTAGAACCATGCAGTTTTCAAAGATTAATGAAAGACAAGAAAAGTACAATATAGAAAATTCTTTCACTTTATATTTCTAAAAAAATATTTCCTTGGTAGCTTTAAGTGCCAAGATCGCGCTAACGCGGAGAAAAATTTAAAATCAAGTAAAGCAACAAAAAGAACGCAAAAGGTGGTATTTAACTGCTATTTCTTAACAGATGGTGTTCAAAAGGTGTTTCTGCCTGGCATGGCTGTTTCAAATTTTTAAAGATTGACTATTCCCTTTCACAACTTTCGTTTGAGTCAGCTGGATAACCACAAGAGCCTAGATATCTTTAACAGCCTTTTCAAATAACATAAATGAACGCTAATTTAGAAGCAGCACGTAATTGGACTACACGGATCTTGGGATGTTTCAAAACATAACCAAACACATTTTTGAATATAATTGAATGAAGAGAAAGGTTCAAAAGGATTTAAGTATCCACTACGAGCGAACAATTTAAAGTGCAAAAGGAAAAAATACTCAATATTGAACTAAATATTGAAGAAAACAGATGCATGTCAAATGATGACAAATTTTTAATAAACTCAAAAAAAATGTTTTCTCAAATAATGAAGACCAATATGAAACTTTCGTTAAGAGTTTGTTTTCATCCAAATTAAACCTACTTTTAAAAATCGTTGTATAGTTACCACTTACCAGGATGAATTATACAGTGCACGAAAGAACATTTAATCACTCCCTCCTCCCCAATATTTAAACAGCATTTTAAAAGCTTATTTAACTTAAAAAAACTAATTAACTTAGAAAGCTAAATAATTAACTTAGAAAGCTAAATATTTAACTTAAAAAACTAATTAATGACAACACTGAAATGAAGCAAGGGTTTGAAAAAGGTTATTTTGTTTTGACAGCATCCATATGCATACATAGCGTTTAATTGTCCGTGTTGTCCAATACCATGCTGTTTCTAAACTAGCGTCCTTTAGTGATTGCTTGTGTGCATGTAATTTGAGAAAACCACCTGCAGAACCTCTTGCTATAAAATGGTGATCATAGCTTTTTTTGTATCACATGTTCTTGTGCGTAATAAGAAGTATTTCAAGAGTCTGTGAAGAATCATGGTGTTGAATAAGAGCGTGAGTGTTCTTCTTCTGATCCTCATTTTGAATGTTGCCACGAGTTTGGCCAAACCAAAATGGTTCTGGAGTGTTGAGGATGAAGAAAACGAAAACAGTGCAATGAGAGGTTTTGAAAAAACAGACAAGAGAAAGACGTCAATCGATGACTTTAAAAAATGGGAAAAGAAAAGTCCCCGACGAAGAGGAGACTGTGGTCGACTATATTGCCCACCTTGACACAAACTATTTCACAAAAAAGTACTTAGCTTGATATTTAACCAGTTGAAACGTGTCATTTAAACGCAAAGTGTCTTAATAAATGGTTTAGTTGCACTCATGATCATATCGTTATTTCATCCTTTTTACCAAGTTCTCTCGAGTCGTTTGTTTTCTCAACATGTATGTATTTTTATCAATTTCTTCCTCTGTGTTTTCTGGTTTCCTCTTCATGACTTGACTCGTCATCCCCAGTGTATTTTACCTCTGGGTGTTTTCGTATTAAATAACATGTTTTGAATTTCAAACGGTTTCTTTGATTTTTTGTTTATTTCACGTCTTCCTTCCTGCCATACTATTGTCGCAACACATTTGTTGCTCTTTTTTTATATATCCATCTTATTTTGTTATCTTTCTCCAGACTTATATCTCATGTCTCTTCATTGAATCATGTCCATATTTTAATCTACACACTCATACACTTCTTATCGCCGTTTTCAACGTTCCTCGCATTTCTCAATTAAAATGTTTTCCTTGGACAGGTGAAACGTCGTAGTACTAAGAAAACATTTACAAGATTACTATATCACTAATGGTTTTCGCATGGTTTTCTCCATAACTTTTTTTTTAGGAAGCCCTTTTGTGCCCATGGAGATGGGTGGTTTATTTATTAAATGCTATTATACAAGTGAGCTGGTTGGTCACAACAGTCATTCTAAAGTGCAACCAAAAAACAAATATGAAAGGACGCCAATTCAAAAACAGCCTGTTTTTTGGACTGCACGGATCATACAACGTTTCGTGTGCATGCATGCTCCAACTAAGCTTTCTCCGACCCATTGGCTTCAGTGATTTCATTTGCATCTTCAAATTAATTACTTGTCCAAGTCAAATACGTTTTCAAATTACTGGGAGTTATTAACAGTTCTTTATGCATTCAGCACTCTACAGTTTATCCTGCTATGCTACAACGATTCTTAAAAGAACAATTCATTGGAGTAAAAGGAAACACACCGCGAAGACCAGGTCAGTATTGAACTCAATAGCTAAGAAAAACATGCAAAGACGAGAAAAGTTTTAAAAAGTTACAATTCGAATTAATTTGAAATTCATCATTATTAGTCTCGTATCTCTTTCTTCAAATGTCGAGTTCATTATTGATTCCAATAATATTTCCTAAATTTAGAACCATGCAGTTTTCAAAAATTAATGAAAGGCAAGAAAAGTACAATATAGAAAAATCTTTCACTTTATATTTCTAAAAAAATAATTCCTTGGTAGCTATAAGTGCCAAGATCGCGCTAACGCGGAGAAAAATTTAAAATTAAGTAAAGCAACAAAAAGAACGCAAAAGGTGGTATTTAACTGCTATTTCTTAACAGATGGTGTTCAAAAGGTGTTTCTGCCTGGCATGGCTGTTTCAAATTTTTAGAGATTGACTATTCCCTTTCACAACTTTCTTTTGAGTCAGCTGGATAACCACAAAAGCCTAGATATCTTTAACAGCCTTTTCAAATAACATAAATGAACGCTAATTTAGAAGCAGCACGTAATTGGACTACACGGATCTTGGGATGTTTCAAAACATAACCAAACACATTTTTGAATATAATTGAAAGAAAAGAAAGGTTCAAAAGGATTTAAGTATCCACTACGAGCGAACAATTTAAAGTGCAAAAGGAAAAAATACTCAATATTGAACTAAATATTGAAGAAAACAGATGCATGTCAAATGATGACAAATTTTCAATAAACTCAAAAAATGTTTTCTCAAATAATGAAGACGAATATGAAACTTTCGTTAAGAGTTTGTTTTCATCCAAATTAAACCTACTTTTAAAAATCGTTGTATAGTTACCACTTACCAGGATGAATTATACAGTGCACGAAAGAACATCTAATCACTCCCTCCTCCCCAATATTTAAACAGCATTTTAAAAGCTTATTTAACT